ACCCAGGCTGGAGTGCAATGGCGCAATCTCAGCTCACCGCAACTTCCACCTCCTGGGTTCGGGCAATTCTCCTGCCTCAGCCTCCTGAGTAGCTGGGATTACAGGCACGCGCCACCATGCCCAGCTAATGTTTTTTGTACTTTTAGTAGAGACGATGTTTCACCATGTTGACCAGGATGGCCTCGATCTCTTGACCTCATGATCCACCCGCCTCGGCCTCCCAAAGTGCTGGGATTACAGGCTTGAGCCACCGCGGCCGGCCAGTTTTTAAAAATTTTAACATCAAATACAAATCATAAGATTGAAAATTAAAATTCAATCAAATCAAAATTGTTTAAAGCAAATGTTTTTAATTTTAATAAAATCTTATTAAATATTTTTATATAAAAATTTGTAATTCTAATATTTGTTATTCATCTAGTTGCCAAATAATTGGTATCAAGCTTCATACATGCTACATCTAGATCTACATACATACACAAATGTAGGACTAATACTTTTTTTTTCTATATTGCAAAACATTCTTTGGCATCCACGTGGAGCTACTGCCAATACCACACTAACTCATGACAACCCCTGGAACCAAAATGAGTTGGAATCAACGAGAAGCAAGAATATAGTCACTTGATTGTGCTGGGAAACAATACTTAATTATTCACGAAGCAGCATTGAATGAATGAATACATTCATGCTCTCTGAAAAAAGGAGTCGACGAATTCCTGAATGTCTTTTTTTGAGGCAGAGTCTCGCTCTGCCACCCAGGCTGGAGTGCAGTGGTGCAATCTCAGCTCACTGCAACCTCCGCCTCCCAGGTTCAACCTATTCTCCTGCTTCAGTCCCCTGAGTAGCTGGGATTATAGGTGTGCACAACTACCCCCTGGCTTATTTTGTGTATTTTTAGTAGAGATGGGGTTTCACCATGTTGGCCAGGCTGGTCTCTAACTACTGACCTCAGGTGATCTGCCGGCCTTGGCCTCCAAAACTGCTGGGATTACAGGCCTGAGCCACCACACCTGGCCAATGTCTTTTATCTTATCCAAGTATTCCCACCAGTCACATCCTCCCTACACTCATTAAGTAGTTTCCATCTCTGATGTTGAAAGAGGCGCAACACACAAACCTCACGGTGTCCAAACACAGTAGCCTTTTGTTTTAAGGACATGGAGCAAATGTGAAGTCACATGGCAGATCTTTAGAGTCACGGTCATACTGGGAGAGTGTGGAGAGGTGGATCCCATTTGACAGCGGCGTGGGCCCTCTAAAGGGCCCATGGCAGGGGCACACGTTGTGGGATGGGTGGCACAATTTTTTTTTTTTTTTTAAATTGAGACAGAGTCTCACTCCGTCGCCAGGCGCCAGGCTGGAGTGCAGTGGCGCTATCTCGGCTCACTGCAACCTTTGCCACCCGGGTTCAAGCAATTCTCCTGCCTCAGCCTCCCGAGTAGCTGAGACTACAGGCGCGCACCACCCCACCCAGCTAATTTTTGTGTCTTTTAGTAGAGACTGGGTTTCACCATGTTGGCCCGGATGGTCGCGATCTCTTGACCTCGTGATCCGCCCGCCTCGGCCTCCCAAAGTGCTGGGATTACAGGTGTGAGCCACCGCGCCCAGTCGAGTGGCACTATTTTTACCGGTGGAAGGTATTTGAGTTATGGGGGACAAATCAGAACGGGTCTGCAACTCACATCTTGCCTCCTCAGAAAAAAGAATTCGATTGAGGGGCATAAAACAGAAAAAGTGACCAAGGCAGGTTTCAGAACAGGAGTGGAAGTTTATTTTAAAAGACTTTAGAACAGGAAATAAAGGAAAGTACATTTGGAAGATACCCAAGCATGCGACTTGAAGAGCAAGCCCAATGTTTAATCTTGATTCTAGGACTTTACAGGCTGGCCCCTTTCCCATGATTCTTCCTTAGGGTGGGCTGCCCACATTCATTGCCCTCTTTACCTTTGGGAATTGAGCATGCACAGTGTGTTTAGGAAGTTGTAAACATGCCCATCTGAGGCTTGCTGCCCTTTTCTGGGGAAATGCCCCTAAAAGGTCATACTCTGCCATTTTGTCTCTTAATGCATATGCCCAGAAAGTTGCTTCTCTCTGGTACCTGCATTCAATTAACACATTAGTGCAATAATTGTGGGACATCAGGGAATGACCTCTCCCAGGCTCCAGGCGCCAATCTTTCACTTTTAGAAAGGCAATGTGATAATTGCCCAACCATCACCTGACATTCCTAGTGGGAGGGGGAGAGCCCTCTCCTGCCTTGCTCATGCCTGGCTATCTGTAACACTGCAGTACATGTTTGACAAACTAGTACTTAGTGAAAAAAAAAAATAACATAGGAGAAAGAATTTATAGGAGATGACAAAAGGAAAACAGTGAAATTTATAAGAATGACAAAATACATTGCAGAGTGACAAAAAGCAAGGAATTTACTCCTTGGAAGTACTTGGTTTGTGGTGGACATAGGACTTGTGAGATGTCTTGGAGCCTTGGATGCCAGATAATTACCAGTTTTGCAGAACACTGATATCTGTGGACTCTAACATGAACTCCATTTAAAGAAGTACAAGGACAATTAATAAACAAAAACACAAGTCAATTTGCACTGTTGCCTAAATATCACCTAAAATAGCATGGTAGAAAAGCGCCAAGTACCAAGTGTGTGAAGACCATCATTCCGCATTCCACATTGAATAACATCATGAAGGTTTAAGATCCTCTTCAAAAGCTTCAAAGGTCGTCTTTATTAATTTCTCACAAAAGTAAACCTCCTCACAAAAGTATAAGCTTAAAATCACAAATCCATCAACATATTCTATTTTATATCTTCTCATTGGACTTTCCTTCAATTTCCTTGGCCTTTAGGGTTTTTCCTATTGCTTGTGTTTCCTTAGACTGCAGACAAAGAGACAACACTTTCCAAAAAAGTACATGTTCTGTGGCCTTTTTCACTGGTAAAAACCTGGCATGACAATAAAACTGCCTTTGCAAAGATTATGGCATGAAAGAAGTCCAGAATGGCTGAATCCATCTTGCTTCTAGCCTCAGAGGCTGGCTGAACTCACTCATTCCTGGGTATAGGCCAAGCTAACCATGGTAGGAATTTAGTTTATAGTTTAACTTTGAAGCAAGGATGGTAATAGTCTCTCCCTAAAACTGATCCCTTCCTTGTTTGGGGACTGAAACCACCTTTGTAAGACTAATGAAAATCCCAAGATTAGGATTATGGGAGGGACCCGAATTCTGCTAAAATGTGGGCATGGTGAAATAACCAACCATTGTTTTCTGTTACCCTGATTACTAAAATCTAGCTGTAGTTAAGCAGTAATCAGCAGTTACTATTTTCTAGTTTGTTTTCTATAATTTCTGACTGTTCAGGAGTCACAAAGTCAGATGTTACAAAATTTGTAATTGCTTCTACAGATGACATCACTATTGTCAAAACCTAAGACTGGTCTTTGAAATATCTTTCAGACTTCTGCATTCTGGTAACTGACTAACTCCACCCACACCCATGATTCATATCAAGAAACTGACTCAACCAGTGGTCCCACCCAGAATTGATTCAGCACTTGAAGACAGTTTGGACACTCCTATGATTTCATCCCCAACCAATCAGCAGCACCCAATCTCTAGCCCACTACCCACCAAATTATCCTTAAAAGTCCTAGCTTCTGAGTTCTTGTAGAGGCAGATTTGAGAATTATCTCCTGTCCTATCACTTAGCTGGTCCTGTGATAATTACACTCCTTCTCTACCGCAATATCACTGTCTCAGCAAATGGCTTTATCTGTGCAGTAGGCAAGATGAACCTATTAGATGTATAGTAAGTTTAGAAGTGGGTGTTTTGTTGTATTCTATGACAAAAATTTGAGTCAACATCAGAAAGTGAGGATGAAGTGGTGAAAATATTTGAGTTCAGATTATACTCTCAGAGGCTATGTGACATGGAGAAAAAAGCCCTCTACCTTAAAGTTCATGGTTCTTATTCTATCTCTGCCTCTTACTAGGTATGTGATAACTGGCAAAGTCACTTAACCTCTCTGAATCTTAACTTCTTTTGTAAAGTGAATCTGATATTTCCCTGTCTACCCTCACAGGGTTGTTGTGAAGATCAGATAAAATCATGTACATAAAAGGACTTTCATGTAAAATGTGCAATACAGATATGCGTTCTTGTTACATAGTTGCAAGTCATTTCCCCTTAGCTATTGAGTCTGGAAAGGAAGGTGATTTACACACACACTGAAACAATACACCCTGTCTAGGAAGGATACATGGTAACAAGACTATGTTAGGCTTTTATTTTTTTTTTCTGCTTTAATAGGTTACTATTGTGAGCTAATTCTAAGATGGAAGACTATAAATTTCTCTTAAATTATAACACACATTTGTGCTCTAGAGCAGTTCTGGGTTGGAACGTATTAGTGGTTGGTAAGATCTGCTTACTAAGTTGTGACCAATGTGTCTTTAAAATGAAAGAACAGAATAGAAAATTTCAGAATGCATCTCAATGGTAAGTGTAAATTCTGTTTTAGGTATGTGTGTGTATTTTGTTCTTGGACATTAAATAAAATACATTTTTTTTCTTTAAAAATGTCAGTAAGAGTTGCCTCAGCGCAGTAGGCAGCGCGTCAGTCTCACAAAAATGTCAGTAAGTACTTTAGGGGGACTGATAGATATATTGTATTTCATCAGATCTAAGATCATCTGACAAGGAGGAAATAATCTACCAATTAAATTACAACAGAATCCTAGAATTTTTATTTTATACCTACTGAAAGAGCTCTTTTAAGCCCAGACAGATTTTTATGATAAAATAACTCAAGCTTATTTATAAATGATTTTTATCATATCTTACTTTTGTGCAAGTATAAAAAGGAAAATAGAAGTTATGTAAATTATTCATTCAATTTTTAGAATCCAGTTCTTTTGAACAGTTTTTTAAAATCAGCATCCTAGCTATTCGTTTTCCCAATCCATTCATTCCACAGCACTGTCCTCTGTGCCAAGAACATTTAATTTCTTAATGCAGCAAGAACGTTCTATTATCTCTGGGATTTTCTTCCAAAGCCATTGACAGCTACCCTGCAAGTCCAAGCAAGAGCAATAACATCTATGTCAGGGCTGCTACACAGCCTGCTGTAATTTTAGATGTACCTCAATTTTTAGAGATTTTTAAACGTGAAGAAAATGTGAATCTTAGAATCCATGAGATAGGGCAGCAGGCTTAACTGCTACCTGATCTTTTGATCAGACTTAGGTGTCAGACCAGAGTTGAAAACCCATCTCCCCTATACAAAAGTGTATTAATCTTGAGACAATCACTTAACCTCTGCCCCCCAGTTTTCTCAGCCCTGAAATGGTACTAATAACAGTACTTAATTCTTAGAATTGTTGTAAGGATTAGAGACTTTTCAGGTATAACATTTAGGCAATACCTGGTAGGACGTGTACATACAACAGATGGGATTACCTCCTGCATGCTGTTTTATAACATTTTTATTTAACAATGTATATCCAGCATGTTTCTGCATCAGTATATATGGGTCTACTTCATCTCTTTTAATAGTTGCCTTTTAACAGTAGGTTTTTTTCCCTGTTTTTTAAAAAATGTTTCTTAAATCTTAATTTCCCCCAATATAGTGTATATTAATAGTAAAAAATCAAAGTGTATAGAAAGCTTTTAAATGACAACAGTCCCCACCTCATTTCTTCCCATCTCATTCTTTCCAACCTCAGTGCCGTTCTCTAGAAGCCACCTTCCAGCTGAAGAAACAGAGGGGACCCAATACCCTTGCAGCACCCACCTATATCATGTACCCTCCGTTTTCCACTCCCTTCCTTTCCCCTGGATGTAACCACCATCCTGAATTCTGTGTTTATTGTTCCCTGCTTTTCAATTCTACCACATATGCATGAGCCATAACTAATGTGCTGTTTCACTTTGCATGTTTTTAAAGTTAACACATTTAGAGTCACACTATATGTATTTTTGTGACTTGCTTTCCTGGCTCAATATCAATCTTTGACTCAGTATCTGGCTCAATAGGCTTGGAGGCATTTAAGTTGGTAACTATAGCTGTAGACTATTTGTTTTCATTGCTGGGTAGATGTCCATTATATGAATACACCACATGTATTTATCCATTCTTCTCTCAATGGACTTTTAATATCCTCTCATTTTTTTTTTATATTCAAGCTCCTTTTTTTTTTTTTTTTTTTTTTGAGACAAAGTGTCACTCACTCTGTTGCCCAGGCTGGAGTGCAGTGCGGTGATCTCAGCTCACTGAAACTTCAGCCTCCCGGGTTCAAGTGATTCTCCTGCCTCAGCCTCCCAAGTAGCTGGGATTACAGGCATGTGCCACCATGTCTGGCTAATTTTCGTATTTTTTAGTAGAGACAGGGTTTTACCATTTTTGCCAGGCTGGTCTCAAACTCCTTACCTCAAGTAATCCTATAACCTCAGCATCCCAAAATAAAATTATATAGCCTGGTGTAATTTTAGATAAACCTCAATTTTTGGAGGTATTTAAACATGAAGAAATGTAAATCTTAGAATCCATGAGATACGGTAGCAGTTAAGAGATCAGACTTAGGTGTCAGACCATGAATCTGCTGTGATTCTGCAAGCTGCCTAATTCATGAATCATTCATTGTTCAATTAAACTCCTTTAAATTTAATTTGGCTGAAGTTTTTATTTTAATGCATTCAATCATTTCTTTTAACACATTCAATCATCCTTCCATAAAGGCTGTTTCTCTGCTATGGACTGTCACAGAATGCTAATTTTTAAAAAAATCCTATTTATAGAATAATGGCCCTTAACTTTTAAAAAAAGTTATATCAAATATTATTTATTAAAATAACAGTGAAACTGTTAATGTGACTAATATGGTTTGGCTGTGTCCCCCACCCAAATCTCACCTTGAATTATAATGATTCCCATGTATCATGGGTGGGGCCAGGTGGAGATAATTGAATCATGGAGGCAGTTTTGCCTATCCTGTTCTTGTGGTAGTAAGTCTCACGAGATCTGATGATTCTATAAATGGGAGTTCTCCTGCACAAGCTCTCTTGCCTGCCACCATGTAAGACTGAACTTTGCTCCTCCATTGCCTTCTGCCATGATTGTGAGGCACCAGTCATGTGGAACTGTTAGTCAATTAAATCTCTTTCCTTTATAAATTACCCAGTCTTGGCTCTGTCTTTATTGGAAGTGTGAGAACAGACTAATACAGTAAACTGGTACAGGCAGAGTGGGGTGCTGCTGTAAAGATACCCAAAAGTGTGGAAGCAACTTTGGAACCAGGTAACAGGCAGAGATTGGAACAGTTTGGAGGGCTTAGAAGAAGGCAGGAAGATGTGGGAAAGTTTGGAACTTCCAAGAGACATGTTGAATGACTTTGACCAAAATGCTGATAGTGATATGTACAATCAAGTCAAGGATGTGGTTGTCTTGGATGATGATGAGGAATTTTTTTGGAAATGGAATAAAGGTGACTCTTGCTATGTTTTAGATAATGTTCAGGTGGCATTTTGCCCCTACCCTAGAGATTTGTGGAACTTTTAACTTGAGAGAGATGATTTAGGGCATCTGGCAGAAGAAATTTCTAAGCAGCAAAGCATTCAAGAGGTGACTTGGGTGCTGTTTAAACCATTCAGTTTCATTTATTCACAAAGATATTGTTTAAAACTGGAACTTATGTTTAAAAGGGAAGTAATGCATCAAAGTTCA